GAAACAAGAGTTCGCAGAAATCAGACATGACGACAAAAGATATAACAAAATTAAACTTTTCAAAGAAAATAATGGGACCTTTCAGAGAACACTGTATGTACCAGAAACACATCAGTTTATAAGGTTATTCGGTAATATCAATACTGCATTGCCGTTACGGTAAGAACATAGACATACAGACATAAAAAAAATATAGAGATAGATAAACAGTTACGTATCTGCACAGCATAATACATATGTCAAAATAAACAAAAAAGTTTGTTTAATATAACAAAGCATTTATCATTCATCCTATAACGATGACGCCAAACTGCCTGGCGTTACCAATACCGGCCTCAGTACTTACAGAGGATTAAATTTCTTAACCAGCGGCGATCCTTTGGGAAACGCAAGGCAAAGGCTCGTGGTGAAGACCGTCCCCTTGGCCAGGTACAAAGGGCATTTCCCTTGCTGCAACAGGAGACGGACATGATCTGAGCTGGATGTTCCCTTGATGAGTTTTGTTAACTGACATTTGATTGGCGTTGACTGACTGGTCTTAAGTATTTACGGGCGTTCAAGTAGACGTTCTATCACTGCAGGGAGTTAGCTTCATTATCAAAAAAATAATAAATGGGTGTTTGCAATAGTGAGGTGGTATACAACAGCTTCATTTACTTAGAGTGAGTGATTAGTTTAGCATATAATGATCATGAATTCTAGAATAAGGAAAATCAAGATAAACGTGTGAGAAAGAAAATGTAGTAAAATGGGGGGGGTGAAGCATGATGGAAATTAAGTAAAAAAAGAGGAAAAAGGAAAACGTAGGAAAAGGTAAAAAAAGAGAGGGGGAAATCAAGATAAAGAAGGAAAAAGAAAATGTAATAAAAGAAGGGAATGGTAAGAGATGGAGGGGAAGATATGAAAGGCACAATGATAAAGTACGGGAAGGTAAGTATAAAAAAAAAAAAATCTTATTATATGATGTCACATCTTCCTATTATTAAAATCCCTCATCATCAGCCTGGTGAAGCTATTACTTGAGAATTTCCAGCTATTTGTTTCACTTACACACGTCGTACCTTAACAGCTTATTGAATAAAGGAAGCTTGTAATAAGCCTGTATAATATATGAGAGATTTAAGGTACATCTTCCATTACAGTTTAGATTTCAGTGTCAAAAGGGCTGTAGTTATTGGTCGTTTTATTGTCACTGTCACTATCATTGTCATTGTTATTGTTACTGCCATTGTTATTGTTATTGTTATTGTTATTGTTACTGCTATTGTTATTGTTATTTATTATTATTATCACAGTGGGTACATATTTCGCTTTGGATAGCGGAAGTGAATGTGAAAGCTCGTTGCTGCAATAGTTATGATAAGATAAGAAAAACAATAATTATAATCACGAAAAAGATAACGATGATGAACATGAGAACGATAATACTAATGATAATAATATTAATAATGATGATAAAAACTGGACCTATAATATTCCTGGCGGTGACTATCGATCAAGGAAAGGATGGATCGAATTGTCGAACCAGAATTATTTTGAGAACAATTACGCACCGTCATTGGTGTGTGTGTGTGTGTGCTGGTGGGTGGGTGCGTGCGTGTGTGCGTGCGCGTATATATATGTGTGTGTGTGTGTGTGTGTGTGTGTGTGTGTGTGTGTGTGTGTGTGTGTGTGTGTGTGTGTGTGTGTGTGTGTGTGTGCGCGCGCATCCGTGTGTGCGTACGTCCGTGCATGTTATACATGTATGTGTGTGTGTGTGATTGTTTTGTAAGTATATATTATCTAGCCAAATATCACAGTTCAATATATCAACTCTGAAAACAAACGTTTAAAAAACTACTGGAATTCATTCTGCAACAAGTCGTTTCACAGGCTTTGAAGAGTACGTCGGTAGTCATTGAACCCAGACCAAAATCTCTTACCCTGCTATAAATGGCGTCGATGATTGACTCGAGGCCCTTCTTCCCGAAGAAAGCAGCGTAGGTTCCCTCTGAGGCTTCGTTCACCACGTTCATCACATCCTTCCTGATAAGGGCCTGCTTCCTCAGCTTGTAGAGGGACGTCCCAGGCGCTGCAGTCTGGCGATCGGAAAACTTAGTTGAGCGTTTAGCCTCGGGGAAACATTATACGGCAAAAGAAGAAGAGGGAGGAGGAGGAGGAGGAGAAGGAGAAGGAGAAGGAGAAGGAGAAGGAGAAGGAGAAGGAGAAGGAGAAGGAGAAGGAGAAGGAGAAGGAGAAGAAGAAGGAGGAGGAGGAGGAGGAGATAAAGATGAAGATGAAGAAGATGAGAAGAAGGAGGAGGAGGAGGAGATGAAGAAGAAGAAGGAGAGGGCGAAGAAGAAGGATGAGAAGGAGAATGAGGAGGAGAAGGAGGAGGAGGGAGAGGAAAAGAAGAAGGAGGAGGAGAAGGAGAAGAAGAAGGAGAGGGCGAAGAAGAAGGATGAGAAGGAGAAGAAGGAGAATGAGGAGGAGAAGAAGAAGGAGAAGGAGAGGGAGGAGGAAGAGGAAGAGAAGAAAAAAAACGAAGAAGGAGAAGAAAAGAAAAAAGACGAATAATTAGAATAAAAGAAAAAGACGAAAAAGAAAAGAAAAGAAAAAGAAAAATAGGAAAAAGAAAACACACATGGTTGCCACGTATGCTTGTTAGGCATCAAGGTCCTTACCATAATGGCTTGGTGGAGCATACTGTCCTCATACACGAAAGTAGGGATGTCGGTTTCCACGAGCTCCTCTATGCTGTCAAAAGGTAAGCGGAGTTTAGGCAGGATCAGCATGGCCTTGAGGTTGGAGCGGTACACGGAGCCGATAATGAGGGCGGAGAGGAGCCAAAGTCCGCCAATGAACCTCCCGGAGTTACCTTTGGGCATCCGCGGTATTGCTTCCAGAAAAGGGAAGTAAGAAGTAGAGGATTAAAATCATTGGCTTTTTTGGAGGAGATGGAGGTTGGAGCTGTTTAGAAATCAGCAAAGTTTATCTTATTCCATGACCCTTCCCTTCCTGAGAGACAACAACGTGAATTTATATACTCAAACACCTGTACACGACTTACATTGGGCTAGGAGAGCGCCGAAAGTCCAAAGTAACACACCCCACGCGCCTTTTACGGTTTTTATTTCAGTCTCTTCACATTCACCGTTGGTTTCTCCTCTGAAGGGCCCGTTAAAAGTCGATATATTTCAGCAGTCAACATCAGGAAGGCTATATATCCAGTTATTATCATTATCATTATTTATTACAATAATTATCATTATTATCAGCGTTATTGCTATCATTCTTATCACTCTTATTGCTACCATTCTCATTACACTGCTACTACCTAAAGCTGAATATGTACCTGGACTGGAAGAGCTGGATCACGAAAGTGCAGCCGAACACCAATGCCATAGTTGTTAACAATAAAAGCCACATCTGGCAATGGTGTGTTAGCTTAATTAGTAGATTTTATTTGTCAATATAGAACAAAGAGCTTGCTGTGACCTATGTTTTATTTCACGTTTTAAACATATAGCCCGTAAGCGAATTGGCATAAACTAATTATTGATATTGTATGTCAAGAAATTATTCATATATTCATTTACCTCGTATTTATAAGGTTTCACAAATCCCAGCATATCCGCTTCGTAGACAGGCCGTTTATAACCCACCGCCTGCTGGTCCACGTACAAAGGCACGCTGAAGTCGACAGCACGATCTCGGAGGCTATCCATTGATAAGATCACAGCTGTCATGTCCGCCTCCTAGAAAACATATTTCTTGTTGAATCTGTCCTTATCACGAACACTAGTATGCTAAAAGGGAGCTAGTACATGCAAGAGGACATGTATGAAGAAAAGATACCTAAATCATGACTGTAGTCTTACCCCACGTGTTAAGAGGCCCATTAGGCCTGTCCAGGTCCCGTTAGGAAGCTGCGAGCCAAAGACGCGATCTTTAGATATGACAAATTCGTAGCTGGGGGCGACAATAAGGCAAAATTAATAAGCAGATGATCATGTTACAAAATCACCTTACAAAAAAAAAAAAAAAAAAAAACATTAATAGATTTTTGATAACGGTAGAACCAACGGAAATTGAAGTTTCTCACCAGATATTCAGATGTTTGGCAAGTATTTCCATCATATCTATCGCAGTGCCAGTGGCTTGATAGGGCGCCTCGTTAGATATGCTTATGACATATGGAGCCCACTGAAATTGAATGAGAAAAGCATTGATAGGGTACTTCATGTATATAATTAGAGAGAGAGACTGGATATATATCAATGTATTCACGATAAAGCGAAATCAGGGTCACATTCTTCAATGTAATTAGAAAAAACATAAAAATAAATCTGCTCTAAATCCATGGCAAAAAAGAAAGGTGCTTAGTATCAGTCTTTTGCCAATAGCTTAGCTTTCAAATTACCTTCTCGATGGCGACTTTGAGGCAAGGTGTCTCCTCTGGAAGGAAGCCCATGTTCTGCCTTGAACAATATCGTCCGGTCTTGCTTGATCAGGGGGTGAAGAACAACTCCACCGGAGTAAGCTGCACCTTTATTTATATACAATCTTTTCGCACATCCTAGGTACGGAATGAAAGAATGCGTGTCAAATGTTGCGTAAAGGGCACATTTGAGCTTGCTGATCTAGCATGTCACTTCGGACAAATACGAAAAGGTTCCACGATGAACATCCAGGCTCTGGGCGACTTGAAAACTTTCAAAGGTTAAAGCTCAATCTGCCACAAAGGTTCACACACACAAGTAAAACGAAAAATTTATTATCAGATGCAAGCACGCATACATACACGCTCACATGCAAACACATTTGCATTCGCAGACGAACATACCTATATTTTTATGTGTCAGTAGTAATATATACATCTACTTTTATCTGTATCTACACCCCCAGAACACATATATATGCCAAGGACAATTCATTTCTGCTATTCTCCATGAATTGTGTTCCGTTTACTGAACTGGATGCAGTTAGACATTTGTTTTCCTGTCTAAAATTAATTATTTAAGAGTACTGAGTCAATGAAACCAGATGTTTTGTGAGCAATATCAGTAAAATTAGTTATACATCAGTTGAACAATCACACATATCTTATTGCTCTTATACCAGTGAAATGAACACATTTGTTTCTGGTCAACAAATTTTCGAAATTTAGGGAAAGAAAATGTGCAACCGTTTTTTTCACTCTTTTACGTTTTACGAGCTTATAGACATGTTTTACCACAATATAATAGTTCGTTTTGACTCTTGATTAATTCAGTATGTGAAACACAAAGTCGATGGTAAAATTCCAAATGCGGTTTCGTGTAAATATCAATGATACGTAATGTAGCACCCAATCTTACCCAATTGAATAAAAACATCATAAAATAAAGTAAATGTGATAACGTATTTTTGGATACGGTGGCATAAGCATGAGAATGTGTGTTCGGAGGTAGACTAATATAGTTTTCTGTCTCTTGAGATCAGGTTAAATAACATGCAATTTCAGTGCAACCTTTATTACGCTGCTATTCAACACATGCATACAATTCGTGCTCTCAGGAATTGTTGGTATTTCCAGAAGTTACCAAAGACATGTATATCCTTAACATTTTTTTTTATTTCCTGCAAAGTTACAGGTAAGTGGTAGAAGTCCACGGAATGGAACTAACAATAATTATTAACCCAAATTCGTTTGCACTATGTATGTTCACAGTTGCATGCATAACCGACTATTTATTAAGGTAATTTAGCCACATTAATGTTAATCCTATCACATATTATCCTTAAACTCTGTATAATTAGATTTTTAATTTGCCCTATCCTATGTCTACTGTTATTATATTTGTGCATAATCACAAAAAAATCAAACCTAATAATGGTTTGCATCTAATCTTCACACAGTACAACGCTTCAGTGCAATATTAATCCCAGAAGAGTCATCCATCAGGTATGAGGTCAGGCTAGGTCATGGGAGATTCAAGCATTGGCGAGGGAGGCTGGACTGGGGTCTGGGTGACCTTGCTCCGCCTTTCCTCTGCAGACGTTGGAGCTGAAGTGCTTGAGAGGCACCGCCAGCTCCAGGAGAAACACGAGCACCGAGGAGATCACACCTGCGGGAGAAGAGATAGAATCCAGATGAAAGAATATACACATACATACATATTCATACATACATATAAAATATACTTACACATACATATAAGACATACTTACACATACATACATACATTTCTTCATTTAAGAAAGGATGAACAAAGCCTCACCCCCAAAGTACACGCAGAACACGCCGTAGAAGTCCTCCAACTCGAAGGGTCTGAGACCTTTCGAGGGCGACACCAAGCCCGACTGAAGACATTTGGTGTAATTCGACAAGCCATGAAGGTACATGTGATTTAAGATGCCAGATTCCTTCATCCTATAGAGTCTGGAAGAGAGTATCATTGATTTCCCTATGATGAACATGTGTATATCTGTTATCATGATTTTTTTAATTATTTATATATACATAAAGTTAAATATACACATCGTAATACAAAAATCTGGTCCACAATTTTATTTCTATCCTAACGTCCTAGCTTCGCATATATCATGATGATAAGGATCCCTTAAATTTCTAATACATATAAAATGTAAAAAAAAACAATGCTTAGAGGTCATGCTACAATAGATATCATCCTCAAGAGAAACCCCATTGCTTGCGCCAAGTCCTTACAGGGGATTTACTTTCTTGACGAGCGGTGATCCTTTGGGAAACGCAAGGCAGAGGCTCGTGGTGAAGACCGTCCCCTTGGCCATGTACAAAGGACACGTCCCCTGCTGTAATACGAGACAGGTCTTGGCGAGCTTTCTTGACTGACGTGGAATTAATGTCTGTTGGTTGTCTGGTTTCTTTAAAACATATGAAAAGTATTTGCAGTGATAAGGAGCTAGAAAAAAAAATAAACAGTGCGATATACGACCGACGATGGGGGTTGGGGGGTGTATGGACCATGTGAATTGCATGCGCGTGTGTGAAGTGTACGTGTATATACCACTAAACTTTATCTGGTTTGAAATTACTTTTCATTTCAAATGAGTACAAGTCACTCATCCTGAAACCAATCATCTCCAAAAGGTCTAAAAACTACACCGAAAACCAATCAACATTTGGGTCACGAGTCAGGTATTCACCCCAGACCACACTCTACTACCGTGCCATAGATATGATGAATGATCGACTCAAAGGCCTTCTTCCCGAAGAAAGCAGCGTAGGCGCCCTCCGAGACCTCGTTCACCATTGTCAACACATCCCTGCGGACGAGGGCCTGCTTCCTCAGCTTGTAGAGGGACGTCCCCGGTGCCGCGCTCTGCAAATCGAATCAACAAGCGTCGGAGGCAGAAGCACGTGTGGTTTGCCTCCAACTAGTTTTACTGTTTTCCATTGATATTTATAACCTGTTTTTGAAAGGTACTTGCAAATATATCATTATATAAAAAATGTACAAGTACTTATTTAAAAAGTATTTGTACTTATTATGGGTAGCTTTATTGCGGTTTCATGGGAAATAAAGTGAGCAACATATAACTATGTACTGAACACAGTAACACGAACTTCTGTGTCGATAAATCTTTCTTTTTTTTTGCCTTAAGCTGAGAAAAAACTAAATTGTTAGGCAATTCTTAAAATATATAAAAAAAATATATATGTGGGGCGATATATCAGAAGTGGTGTGATAATTCCGACTTTCGACTCCTAGATGGTAAAAGTAGATTTGTAAATGAATGTGGTATTAGTGAGGGAACGTAACAAGAACCAAATATAAGAACATCGTGACTGAAAATCATTCAATTTGTATTGCATTTCTATGCTGCGCATTTCGATTGTTGTTCTATGGGTATAAACAGAATTCAAATAACAACGGACAAAACCGTCAATATGAGATAGGAGGGGATAGAATAGATTTTCCGCGCTATAAAAAAGAAAAGTTGAACAAAGTTAACTGGACGCCGAAGCTAGCATCTGGACTAACGATTCCCAACCTGTGCTTTGCGATATAATCTGTGTCACGATTACACTCACATTGTGTCGGATGAAATTTTGATGCGCATTTTTTGCTCTTAAAGTCACTGTTTTTGAAGTTAAACCCAGAGTTTCTCATTGGTTATATAAGTTATTTTTACAGTACTTTATATATCTTCAAGACAATGTAACTGTATACATATAGAATACATTCGTAATCATAAATGGATGGAGTAAAGAGATGGTGCGCCGCAGAAATATTTTGATATATTTTAGTGCTTTGTCAGCCAGCGAAAGCAACATACACACCATGATGGCTTGGTGAATCATACTATCCTCGTACACGTAAGTCGGGATGTCGGTCTCCACGAGCTCCTCCAAGCTATTGAAAGGCAGGCGCAGTCTGGGCAGAATCAGCATGGCCTTGAGGTTGGAGCGGTACACGGAGCCGATGATGAGGGCGGAGAGGAGCCACAGCCCTCGGATGAACCTCACCGAGTTTCCTTTACACTCGGACGGCACCGCTTAAGGAGGGAAAGGGGGAAATGCAGGGGGTTGTGATTATCGGTGTCGTGGATCTGGTCTTTGTTGGGGCTTTAATAATACGATTTTCTTTCGAAGGAACTGCTCTAGAATGCAGCAGTGTTAGAGTGTGAAAGATAACTTGAAAAGAATGGCGAAGAACCTACATTGGGCAAGGAGAGCGCCGAGAATCCATAAGGACACAGCCCACATGCTTTTCACGGTTTCCTTTTTAGTAATTTCCGTGTCATGACCGGGTTTTCCACTGAACGTCCTCCTACAGGGCGTTTCGTGAATCAGGTAAGTCTATGATTATTATTATTATTACTTCATTTTTTTAACATTCATATTTCAGTAGCATCATTATAAAAGGCTTTGCATTGTACAATACCCAGCGGCAAATACTAACCTGACCTGAAAGAGCTGAATCATGAATGTGCAGCCAAACGCCAGCACCACAGTTGTCAATAGCAAAAACCACAACTGGCAATAGGACACTGGCGGTCAATAAAAATCACAGAACAAAGACAGTGAACTATAAGCATGCTGAATTGAGCAAAATGGTAGACCAGTTATCAAGCTGTCCAACGAAAACTGCGTTTCTTTACCTCGTACGTATAAGGTTTAACGAATCCTAGCATATCGGCTTCGAAGACAGGTCGCTTGTAACCCACCGCCTGTTGGTCTACATAAAGTGGCACGCTGAAGTCAACCGCTCGATCTCGCAGGTAGTCTACTGACAAGACCACAGCCGTCATGTCCACTTCCTTGAAATTTAATTTTTATTTGAGATGACTTAACCGTTAAGCGTGGTAAAAACATCTTTAACTCCTTTGTCATGCTATATATTCTTTACTTATGTGTCACGTTTAAACAAAATTATATACCCATTTACGAAGAAACATTTTCTTAAATAGCAGACTCACCCTTCGTGTTATTAAGCCCATCAAGCCTGTCCAGGACCCATTGGGAAGCTGCGTACCAAATACACGATCCTTAGCCACTACAAACTCGTAGCTGTGAATGATAATGTACCAAACGTGACGGCTTCCCTAACACACACAAAAATAATAGATAGTTTTTAATGGTAGCAACAACATAGATAAAAACATTTCCTCACCAAGTATTCAGATGTCGCGAAATCATATCAATGATTTCCACTGATGTACCGGTGACTTGATAGTTGGGTGCCTCTCCATATATGAAGTTTACGTATGGAGCCCACTTTAGAAATGAAAAAGAACATAGCCATAACATTTGATTATATATATGTGTGTGTGTGTGTGTGTGTGTGTGTGTGTGTGTGTCTGTGTCTGTGTGTGTCTGTGTGTGCTTTAAATACAAGTCATGAAATCGACACAGAAGTCACATCTGTAGCAATCTCAATCCGTAAAACAAGCAGCGCCTTCTATCGGTCTCAATCCCAAAGGCTTTCCTCCAGATTACCTGCTCGATGCCGATTTTGAGGCAGGAGGTGGTTTCATTGGGCCTGGCGTTCAT